AAAATGTCAGCACTGCAATGCTCGTCAAATTGTTCTCAAGCCACTACAGGAAACACTGGTATGCCAGTAGCACTGCAGAACGTATACAGACATGCTGGGCCCTAGGACAGACACATAAAGGATCACTTGGACAACGAAATATGGATCCCAGGTTACAACCTATACAGATGCGACAGAGTGAACAGGCAAAAAGAAGGGGGGGTTGGCCTGTATATCGCAGAGTCACTTGTTTGCACAGAACTGCTTAATGCCTCAAATGATGTAGTGGAAGTTTTAGCAGTAAAGATCGAGAACCAAAACCTAGTCATTGTGGTAGTCTACAAGCCTCCGGATGCAACGTCCCAGCAATTCCAGGAACAGCTGTTAAAAATTGACAACTGTCTGGAAAATCTGCCAGCTCCTGCCCCCAACATCTTGCTCCTGGGGGATTTCAACTTGAGGCACCTAAAATGGAGGAATATAGCAAATAATGTTGCTGCAGTGATAACACCAGGAGGCAGCTCTGACGAGAACTCACACACACGAGCTTTTAAATCTCTGCACAAAATTCAACTTAAACCAGCAAATAATAGAGCCTACTGGACTGGAGAATACACTAGACCTCATCTTCACTAACAATTTGATCTGATACGAAATGTCACCATATCAAAAACAATATACTCAGATCACAACATAATCGAGGTTCAGACATGTATTCGCGGAGCCTCAGACCGACAAAATGAGATTAGTCACGAGGGAGCCTTCACCAAATTCAACTTCAATAACAAGAACATAAAGTGGGACCAAGTAAACCAAGTCCTAACCGATATAAGCTGGGAAGATAGACTAAGCCTAGAACAGATTAACTCGGTGGCACTCGATGTATGCTCGAGGCTTATTCCTTTAAGAAAAAGGAGGAGTAGATGTAAAATAAAAAGAGACAGGCGCTCCCTTTACAGGCGACAGAAAAGAATAACAGAGCGGCTAAAAGAGGCCAATATATCTGAAATGCATAGGGAGTCACTGGTAAGAGAAATAGCAAACATCGAACTTAAGCTAAAGGAATCTGATAGGGGTCATGAATCGCGGGAAGAACTAAAAGCCATAAATGAAATCGAAAGAAACCCAAAGTATTTCTTTTCTTATGCCAAATCAAAGTCGAGAACAACATCCAGTATTGGGCCCCTACTTAAACAAGATGGGTCCTGCACAGATGACAGCAAGGAAATGAGTGAGCTACTCAAGTCCCAATATGACTCAGTTTTTAGCAAGCCGCTAACCAGACTGAGAGTCGAAGATCAAAATGATTTTTTTTATGAGAGAGCCACAGAATTTGGTTAACACAAGCCTGTCTGATGTTATCCTGATGCCAAATGACTTCAAACAGGCGATAAATGACATGCCCATGCACTCTGCCCCAGGGCCAGACTCATGGAACTCCGTGTTCATCAAGAACTGCTTTTACCATCCTATGGAGAGGGAGCATGGACACGGGGGTAGTCCCACAGTTACTAAAAACAACAGACATAGCCCCACTCCACAAAGGGGGCAGTAAAGCAATAGCAAAGAACTACAGACCGATAGCACTAACATCTCATATCATAAAAATCTTTGAAAGAGTCCTAAGAAGCAAGATCGCCACCCATCTAGATACCCGTCAATTACACAACCCAGGGCAACATGGGTTTAGAGCAGGTCGCTCCTGTCTGTCTGAACTACTGGATCACTACAACAAGGTCCTAGATGCACTAGAAGACAAAAATAATGCAGATGTAATACATACAGACTTTGCAAAAGCCTTCGACACGTGTGACCATGGCGTAATAGCGCACAAAACGCGTGCTAAAGGAATAACAGGAAAAGCTGGTAGATAGATCTATAATTTCCTCACAAAGACACAAAGTGTATCAACAAATAAAAACTGAGGCCTACGGGGAAAAGCTCTGTTCCCAAGGCACAGTACTCGCTCCCATCTTTTCTCATCCTCATATCTGACTAGGCAAGGATGTCAGCCACGCACCGCGTCTTTCCTTTTTCAGAAAACCCCGAATCTGCATGACTGTCTTCCATTGCTGACACTGCAAGGCCCAGGCGGACAACAACCAAATCTTTCAGTGGGCTGCAGAAAACAATATGAAAATTCAACGATGAGAAATTTTAATACTCCGAATGGTAAACAAGGGAAAAAAAACCATTAAGTCAGAACAAATTTCCCTTTCCCCAAAATAGAGCGAAAAACCAACGTCAAAGATGGGGGTGACATGTCGGAGGGGCTCACCTTCGGGCCAAAACAATATCAACGCATTGCTAAAAAATGACGGGGTGGGGAAAAGGAACCCTTTAAAACTAGGGATTCCAAGCCTATGACACTCTTCAGTCGCTTGTTCTATCTAGGTTTTGAATATTCTGCACACTAATAGCACCTTTCAAGGCAGGGGGAAAAAGCTGCCTAGAAAATGTACAGAGACCTTTACGGCACGCTAACGGGGATAAAACACCTTCAATTCTGGAGCACTTGAGTTCCAACCGATTCCCTGGAACGCAGGCGGGGAAAATACATGATTATATACACCTGGAAAATCCTAGAGGGACTAGTACCAAACTTGCAAACGAAAATCACCCACAACGAAAGCAAAAGACTCGGCAGACGGTGCAACATCCCCCCAATGAAAAGCAGGGGTGTCACTAGCACGTTAAGATACAATACAGTAAGTGTCAGGGGCCCAAGACTGTTCAACTGCCTCCCAGCATACATAAGGGGGATTACCAATAGACCCCTGGCTGTCTTCAAGCAGGCACTGGACAGGGACCTAAAGCCAGTACCTGACCAGCCGGGCTGTGGTTCGTACGTTGGTTTACGTACGGCCAGCAGTAACAGCCTGGTTGATCAGGCCCTTATCCACCATGAGGCCTGGTCACAAGTAAACTCCTGGTAATGTGTATCACTTATGTATATATGGTAGATATATATCACATGCATATCTGATGGTAGATATGGATCAATTATTTATATCTGACGGTATATATGTATTACTTTTGAATGTATCGTGATAGATATGTATCACTTATGTATGTTTTTACAATAATGAAAACTAAGCACTAAACCCACAAGGGTCATACAGATCACTTATGTATAGCTGACGGTAGATATGTATTACTTATGTATATCTGACGGTAAATATGTATATCTGGCTAAATATATACTATGTATGTTTGACGGCATGTATATATTATGTATATCTGACGGTAAATATATATGAATTATGTATATCTGCTGGTAGATATGTATCAATTTACGTATATTTTAACATTTTTCGTTTTTTTAGTTCTTTTTGACAGTTACAGTTTGTTCGATTTTGTTCTTTGGCTTAATCTTCAAGAAAAAGTTTTATAGCAATTTATTATAGCTTGTGATACATGAACGCAAGGCTATAAATTCTTCCTTGGGTAGAATTTTATACTGATTAAGAAAATGGTAAGTAAATGTTGTAATTAATAATGATTATGTATAAATTTGATGAATACATTGTGCGGACTCTTGTATACATGTGTGATGCCACACCGTCTTAATGATTATTATATATGTATGACAGGAGACACTGTAATAATGGTTTATAATGTACACGGGATTAATGGTGAAGAAGTAGAGATGTATGATAGAGTAGATGAGTATAATAGTGAGTTAGAGGAGGTGTATAGTGTAGTGACGTGGATCACTATAATCACTGCTGCTGCTGCTACACTAACAACCTCACCTTCATTCTCAACTTGTCTTCTCCTTCCATCACTGTTAATGTACCACAGCAAGAGGACATCACACCACCTTAACTGTGAGCTCTACTAACCTGTGTGAGTGAGAGTAGTTGGGTGGTTATGGTAGTTTCAGGTTTATTTTCAGCAGTGATCACAGGTTGACCTCTGACATGTGACTGATGAATGAAGGATGTTTCACTGCCTCTGCTCCACCAGGTCTCTCTTAATACATTACCTCCGCATTCCTGTAAGACAGCTTTTGAATAAATGATGTTGATTGTGTTAAATGTTTTTTTGTATCACTTCCTTGGTAGGAGACAACCATCGCTGTGGTAAAAAAAAAAGGTCAAGTGCAGGGCAGTGTGGGTATTACATTCGTTAGATAGTAACTTTTTTAACACAGACCATCTCTTTCCAAGGTAGGGTGACTCTGAAAAAAGAAAGTATATTCACCATCATTCATTCAATAGTTGTCTTGACAGAAAAGTGCAGATATCACAGTCCAAATGACCCCCACCTTCCTTCAGATTGCAGACACTGTATCTCCCACCTCCAGGACTCGAGTCTGGCTAACCAGTTAACCTGAAAACCTGCAAACATATTCTGTTCGTAGATGACACTACTTGTGTCTTCTCTCACTCAAATCCAACTATTCATAGTGACACTGTTAGCGATGTGCTGCTAAAAATACTATTTGCATGGATGAGGACCAACAAACTCACCCTCAATACAGACAAAACCTACTACATACTGTTTGGAAACAGAACTTTAAAATCCACCTTAACATATTGATCATTGGTTCTCCCATTACAAGACACACTGAGGGCAAATTTTTAGGTCTTCACCTTGACTGTGGCCTGAAATATCATACTCACATCCAACACATAACCAGGAAGGTCTCCAAAATAGTAGGCATCCTCTCCAAGATACAATACTATGTACCCCAAATGGCACTACTTATACTATACTACTCTCTAATCTACCCTTACCTCAACTATGGTATTTGTGCTTGGGGATCTATGACTAATCACCTTCAACCATTAATAGCCGAACAAAAAGTTGCTGTGCAGATAATCGCCAATTCCTGCCCTAGACAATACACCCCTCCGCTCTTCAAGAGTTTGAACTTGCTTAATATACAAAATATACACTCACATTTATGAGCCTACTATGTACAGCAGACCGTCATTTAACACGGTTTTGTCTGGTACGTTTTGGTTATAGCACAGTTGAAGAATTGCGGCATATTTTTGTATAACACTTCATAACATGATTCATGGGAAGGGAAAAATTTTTGAGCACGTCGCCCTCGGGATACGTACCGTCTTCTGCTAGGAGTTTATATTTTTTTTCATGCCATATCTTAAATCTGCCAAGCAATCATGGCACCCAGTAGGCATACAAGTGCTGCTGCAAGTGGCAAGAAAAGGTTTAAGAGTTTAAGTCTTAGAATTAACGAAGAAAATAGAGATGTTAGACAAGAGATAGCCAGTGGATGCAATGAAGTGTCTCTTTGTGCACATAAAGAATGAGAGAAATATGAGTTTGTGTGATGACTGACTGACTGATTTACTGACTGATGGATTTACTGACTTGACTGACTCACTGACTTACTGACTTGACTGATTTACTGACTGACTTAAAGTTAGACTTTCCCACTGACGAGGACCCTGAAACAGTGTCTAGATCAGCTGATGCCTCACTGTCAGTTGTATAAAGTACTGCGGGGTAAAATAGAACAGAAATCCATTGCAGAATTTATGCACACTCCAGTACAACCATCGACTTCAGTACCAATACCTCTACCATCTGCCTCATTCCAGTAGGGTCACAGCATAACTCTCCATTCTCCACAATCATCCACAAACACCAGCACCCACAATTTAAGGTAAGAAATACTATTAATTCTGTTGCACTTGTAATCTTAAACAGTAAAAACAACATAATACATCACAACAGTGAGCTACAATTACATATTCACTTTTATTTTTGTAAGATCTGGAGGTTAAAAAAAATTTATTTGGCTTTTTTTGGGGCTCCTTGGAACATAACCCTATTTTTACTTAAGTTCTTCAGTTTGTCTAATACGATTTTAACTAAAACTGCTTTTTCGGAACGTAACTATCGTGTTAAATGATGGTTTACTGTATATAGAACATAAACCCTTTGACTGTCGCGGCCGTATATATACGTCTTATGAGGTACCGTGTTTGACGTATATATACTCATAAATTCTAGCGGCTTCAAATCAAGCAGGAGAAAGCTGGTAGGCCCACATGTGAGAGAATGGGTCTGTGTGGTCAGTGTGCACCATATAAAAAAAAATCCTGGAGCACGCAGTGCATAATGAGAAAAAAAAAACTCCGACCTTTTTTTTAATTAAAATGCCGACTTTGTGGTCTATTTTCGTATAGTATTTATGGTTGTATTCTTGTTTTCTTGGTCTCATTTGATAGAATGGAAAACATATTATAGAAATAGAGGTGATTTTGATTGATTTTACTATAAAAAGAACCTGGAAATGGAGCACAAAGTACGGGAAATGTTTGATTTTTGCCGATGTTCAAAAGTAAACAAATGATGTCATTGTCCAATAAATGTCCAAATAGCCATTCTAATATGCAGTCATGAATGGGTTGACATTATTTATACAATTATTACAATATTGCAGTAGTCTGCATAACAGTAAATCTTCTATTTTTTGTTTATCTGGAGAGTTTATCTGGAGAGAGTTCCGGGGGTCAACGCCCCCGCGGCCCGGTCTGTGACCAGGCCTCCTTAGGTCAGTGTCCCAGGATGTGACCCACACCAGTCGACTAACACCCAGGTACCCATTTTACTGATGGGGAACATAGACAACAGGTGGAAAGAAACACGTCCAATGTTTCTACTCTGGCTGGGAATCGAACCCAGACCCTCGCCGTGTGAAGCGAGAGCGTTAACCACCAAGCAAGAGTAATATCAGAGGGGCCTGGAGATGTGACTGATGAACAAAGAAAATGATATTTTAGAGCCAGAAATGTCTGCATTGTTCATTCTGGTCCTTATTTTGAAATTGTCATAATTTTAATTTTCGTGAAATTGGCCAAATTGCAAATTTCTGACCATGTTATTGGGTAGTTGAAATTGGTAAATGGGCAGTTTCTTGTACTCAGTCGATAGAAAAAATGGAGTTCTGAAGAAACAGCTATGAGTTTGGTTGACTGGAATAATGGAATTAGCCCAAAATAGGGCTCAAAGTGGGTGAAATCGCCGATTTGTAAATATCGCCGAGGTCGCTAACTTTGCGAGATTGTAATTCCGTCAGTTTTCCATCAAATTTCGTTTTTTTTGGTGTCTTTACAATCGGGAAAAGATTCTCTATCATTTCATAAGAAAAAATAATTTTTTTTTTTTTTTTTTTTTTTGAAATTTTGCGACACCAGGAGACACCTCAGGATTGGGGGTTGCGACAGTCAAGGGGTTAAACTCCAATATAAATCCTCCTCTCAAACTTTTCCTTGATAGCTACAACAGAACGCAAAGGCACAAAACAAGGCACAAAATTCTCTTTGAATCCAATATGTCTGCCTGACCCTATGCAAAAATGTAATGCATATAAAGGGCCCCAAGATCTGGAATTCATTGCCTGAATCAGCAAAAGGTCCCCTGTCTGCCAATCAATTTAGAGCTATAATTAAAAATCACCTCGTCTCCCAAACGTAATTATACCAACGCTATGTCATACCAAGAAAAACAACTCGTCCAAGTATGGCCTCTTCTCAGTTAGTGACGTACTCGTTTACTGACGACTCAGAGTTATGATGGGCTCTCTAACCAGTATGCATACCTAAATAATGTATATTAGAGTCGATTTCCTCTATTCTGGTATTACAATATACAGTACACTACTGTACAAACATTTAAAAATATACTAAAAAATGTTATAAATGGTGCAAAAGGTGACATTAAAACAATATCAAAGATGGTTGACAAACCCATTACCAGTATAGTATGCTCCTTGCTTAGCAACAAATTCGTTTACCAATGTGGTCTTAGACACGGAACTCCGTTATTAAGTGAGGAGAGGCTGTACTTCTGTTTCTTCATAAAATTTCCTAGCCTGAAATCATAGAATTAGTTAAACTACTCAAGAAATCCCATCTAACTTAAGATCACTAAATCAGTTTAAAGTATTAATACACACCTAAAATTGTACTGATTGTTACCTCTCTGCTATAAATATTTCTGATTATAATTTTTTACTACTGTAGTACTTTTTTTGTAATACACAATTAAAATCTACCACTCCATAACCTATGCCCAGTTCTAAGTAGTCTGTAAGCATTTGGATTATTTTCTTTTTTTATTATCACACTGGCTGATTCCCACCAACGCAGGGTGGCCCGAAAAAGAAAAACTTTCACCATCATTCACTCCATCACTGTCTTGCCAGAAGGGTGCTTTACACTACAGTTTTTAAACTGCAGCATTAACACCCCTTCTTCAGAGTGCAGGCACTGTACTTCCTATCTCCAGGACTCAAGTCCGGCCTGCCGGTTTCCCTGAACCCCTTCATAAATGTTACTTTGCTCACACTCCAACAGTACGTCAAGTATTAAAAAACCATTTGTCTCCATTCACTCCTATCAAACACGCTCACGCATGCCTGCTGGAAGTCCAAGCCCCTCGCACACAAAACCTCCTTTACCCCCTCCCTCCAACCTTTCCTAGGCCGACCCCTATCCCGCCTTCCTTCCACTACAGACTGATACACACTTGAAGTCATTCTGTTTCGCTCCATTCTCTCTACATGTTCGAACCGCCTCAACAACCCTTCCTTAGCCCTCTGGACAACAGTTTTGGTAATCCCGCACCTCCTCCTAACTTCCAAACTACGAATTCTCTGCATTATATTCACACCACACATTGCCCTCAGACATGACATCTCCACTGCCTCCAGCCTTCTCCTTGCTGCAACATTCATCACCCATGCTTCACACCCATATAAGAGTGTTGGTAAAACTATACTCTCATACATTCCACTCTTTGCCTCCAAGGACAAAGTTCTTTGTCTCCACAGACTCCTAAGTGCACCACTCACCCTTTTCCCCTCATCAATTCTATGATTCACCTCATCTTTCATAGACCCATCCGCTGACACGTCCACTCCCAAATATCTGAATACATTCACCTCCTCCATACTCTCTCCCTCAATCTGATATCCAATCTTTCATCACCTAATCTTTTTGTTATCCTCATAACCTTACTCTTTCCTGTATTTACTTTTAATTTTCTTCTTTTGCATACCCTACCAAATTCATCCACCAATCTCTGCAACTTCTCTTCAGAATCTCCCAAGAGCAGTGTCATCAGCAAAGAGCAACTGTGACAACTCCCACTTTATGTGTGATTCTTTATCTTTTAACTCCACGCCTCTTGCCAAGACCCTCGCATTTACTTCTCTTACAACCCCATCTATAAATATATTAAACAACCACGGTGACATCACACATCCTTGTCTAAGGCCTACTTTTACTGGGAAATAATTTCCCTCTTTCCTACATACTCTAACTTGAGCCTCACTATCCTCGTAAAAACACTTCACTGCTTTCAGTAACCTACCTCCTATACCATACACCTGCAACATCTGCCACATTGCCCCCCTATCCACCCTGTCATAAGCCTTTTCCAAATCCATAAATGCCACAAAGACCTCTTTAGCCTTATCTAAATACTGTTCATGTATATGTTTCACTGTAAACACCTGGTCCACACACCCCCTACCTTTCCTAAAGCCTCCTTGTTCATCTGCTGTCCTATTCTCCGTCTTACTCTTAATTCTTTCAGTAATAACTCTACCATACACTTTACCAGGTATACTAAACAATTTATCCCCTATAATTTTTGCACTCTCTTTTGCCCCCCTTGCCTTTATAAAAAGGGAACATGCATGCTCTTGCCAATCCCTAGGTACCTTACCCCATCCAACATTTTTTTAAAAAATTGCACCACCACTCCAAAAATATCCCCCACCTGCTTTTAAAATTTCTATCTTTACCCATCAATCCGGCTGCCTTACCCCCTTTCTTTTACCACTGCCTAACGAACTTCCCCCCCTACAAGGGCTCTTCCTCACCCCTACAAGATGTTATTCCCCCTTCCCCCTTTACCGAAATCACAGCTTCCCTATCTTCAAAAAACTTTTAAACAATTTCCCTAAAAATATTCCCCCATCTTCCCAATCCCTTTAAATTTCCCCTTTTTTAAATAATTTTCCTCTCCTATTTTTTTGACAAATCCATTTTTTTCTCTAGACTTCCTTTAACTTTTAAAACTACCCAAAACTTTTTTTTATTTCAACAAAATTTTTTTGATAACATCTCACCCATCTTCATTTGCTCTCTTTTTCATTTTTCACCACTCTCTTAACCTCTTTTTTTCTCCATATACTCTTCCCTCCTTGCATCACTTCTACTTTGTAAAAGCTTCTCATATGCTAACTTTTTCTCCCATTTGGATGAATCTGCCTGAAATGCTCATGCATGCTAGAGGCTTTCTTTGTGCTCACAATACTTTATTACATGTAAACTACAGTTTGTATACTTCACAAAGAAATAAAAATTTAGATTTTTTGAATTTTGAATATAATGGTGGCTGCTTTGCTCTAAAAATGGTGATATTTTTGAAAAACCTGTATTATTCCTGGTGTTTCTGGAAATTTTATGCAAACAGTATAGTAGCTGTTCTTTTGTAAAAGGAAAAAATATATTGACGGATATTTACTGGAAATACTGCATTAATAATATCACTTTTTCAGTACAGAGGATCCTTGGTTATCTGCTGTAATCCGTTCCAGAAGCTCAGCCTAAAACTGAAATGGCTGAAAACCAAAGTAATATTTCCCATAAGAATTAATGTAAATGCAATTAATCCGTTCCAGACAAAATATTCACACAAAAAAATACTGTTTTTAACAATTAAACCAGTATTTATTACATACCTTTATTGAAGACTAATGCTGGTTTCTAGAATGCCTGCTACACTTCCTGCATGTCTGCTACACTCCCTGCATGCCTGCTACACTTCTTGCCTTCCTGCTACACTTCATGCATGCCTGCTACACTTCCTGTATGCCTGCTACACTTCCTGCATGCCTGCTACACTTCCTGCATACCTGCTACACTTCCTGCATGCCTGCTACACTCTCTGCATGCCTGTTACACTTCCTGCATGCCTGCTACACTCCCTGCATACCTGCTACACTTCCTGCATGCCTGCTACACACTCTGCATGCCTGTTACACTTCCTGCATGCCTGCTACACTTCCTGCATACCTGCTACACTTCCTGCATGCCTGCTACACTCTCTGCATGCCTGTTACACTTCCTGCATGCCTGCTACACTTCCTGCATACCTGCTACACTTCCTGCATGCCTGCTACACTCTCTGCATGCCTGCTACACTTCCTGCATGCCTGCTACACTCCCTGCATGCCTGCTACACTCCCTATATGCCTGCTACACTCCCTGCATGCCTGCTACACTTCCTGCATGCCTGCTACACTTCCTGCATGCCTGCTACACTTCCTGCATGTCTGCTACACTCCCTGCATGCCTGCTACACTTCCTGCCTGCCTGCTACACTTCATGCATGCCTGCTACACTTCCTGTATGCCTGCTACACTTCCTGCATGCCTGCTACACTTCCTGCATACCTGCTACACTTCCTGCATGCCTGCTACACTCTCTGCATGCCTGTTACACTTCCTGCATGCCTGCTACACTTCCTGCATACCTGCTACACTTCCTGCATGCCTGCTACACTCTCTGCATGCCTGTTACACTTCCTGCATGCTGCTACACTTCCGCATACCTGCTACACTTCCTGACATGCCTGCTACACTCTCTGCATGCCTGTTACACTTCCTGCATGCCTGCTACACTTCCTGCATTGCTACATCCTGATGCACTTCCTTCGCATGCCTGCTACACTTCCTGCATGCCTGCTACACTCCCTGCATGCCTGCTACACTCCCTATATGCCTGCTACACTCCCTGCATGCCTGCTACACTTCCTGCATGCCTGCTACACTTCCTGCATGCCTGCTACACTTCCTGCATGTCTGCTACACTCCCTGCATGCCTGCTACACTTCCTGCCTGCCTGCTACACTTCATGCATGCCTGCTACACTTCCTGTATGCCTGCTACACTTCCTGCATGCCTGCTACACTTCCTGCATACCTGCTACACTTCCTGCATACCTGCTACACTTCCTGCATACCTGCTACACTTCCTGCATGCCTGCTACACCCCCTGCATGCCTGCTACACTTCCTGCATGCCTGGTACACTCCTTGCCTCTATGCCTGCCTGTCTTGAATTCTATCGTGTTTCTCACTTTCTTTACCAAAGTAAATTTACTAAGAACTTTCTTTGGGGCCATGGTGACTTATTTCGCAGTTGCACTTGATAAATAACCACCAAAAACAACGGTTTATAATGATATGATTGGATGAAAGAGCAGAAACTTCCTCACTTGCCTAGAGACACAGCCAGATTGATGTGAGCGGCTGCCAGCAGGCAGGTGTACGCGTCCCATTTGGCCGATAAGTGAAATAACGGCCGATAACCAGAATCCGAAAAACCGGCCTATAACCGAGTTGGCCGATAACAAGAACGGCTGATAACTGAGGGTCCACTGTACTGTATCTTAAAAACTTGTGATTTGAGCCCTGTGTTTTTACGTTGACATCTGTAAACGTCTGAAATTAATGTTGACTCCTTTTCATACAGAACTTGGCACCAACATCAATTATGGGTGAGGACCGTGTACCACCAGGATTAGTCGGAGCCGTTGACAGTATTAAAGAAGCTCTGAAAGCTGGTCGCACAGATATCTTTCGAAAACTATTAGATGCTTGCGAAGTCAGTAAGTAATCAGGTTTGCAAAAAATAAATAGTGAGAGATGTATAGTGTGAAGGACATCTGGTACTGTACTCTGTTTTACATTCAGTAACAAACTTTTGGTTACAACAGTCTTTTAGTTGCTACAGTAATTTTTTTTTTAACACATTGGCCGTTTCCCACCGAGGCAGGGTGACCCAAAAAAAACAGAAAAAAAAGCCAAAAAGAAAGAAAATCTTTCATCATCATTCAACACTTTCACCATCATTCATACATAATTACTGTCGTTGCAGAGGCACTCAGATATGACAGCGAAGATGTCACTCCAAACAGCCAATATCCCAAACCCCTTCTCTAAAATGCAGGCATTATACATCCCACCTCCAAGACTCAAGTCCGACTAACCAGTTTCCCTGAATCCTGTCACAAAATATTACCTTGCTCACACTCCAACAGCTCATTAGGTCCCAAAAACCATTCGTCTCCATTCACTCCTACCTTACATGCTCACGCACACTTGCTGGAAGTCCAAACCCCTCGCTCATAAAACCTCTTTTCCTAGGATGACCCCTACCCTGCCTTCCTTCCATTACAGATTTATATGCTCTCCAAGTCATTCTTATTTTGTTCCATTCTCCCTAAATGACCAAACCACCTGAACAACCCCTCTTCAGTCCTCTGACTAATACTTTTAGTAACTCCACACCTCCTAATTTCCACACTACGAATTCTCTGCATAATATTTACACCACACATTTCCCTTACACATGACATCTCCACTGCCTCCAGCCTCCTCCTTGCTGCAGCATTTACAACCCATGCTTCACACCCATATAAGAGTGTTAGTACTGCTATACTCTTGTACTCTCCTTCTTTGCCTACATGGATAATGCTTTTTGTCTCCACAGATACTTCAAAGCACCACTCACCTTTTTTTCTTCATAAACCCATCTGCTGACAAGTCAACTCCCAAGTATCTGAACACATTCCCTTTCATACTCCCTCCAGTGTGATATCCAGTTTTTCTTTAGCTAAATCATTTGATATCTTCATTACCTTACTCTTATCTATGCTCAATTTTCAACTTTCTTCCTTTATACACCCTCCCAAACTTGTCCACTAACCTTTGCAACTTTTCTTTAGAATTACCCATAAGCACAGTATCATCAGCAAAAAGCAACTGTGTCAACTCCCATTCTGTATTTGATTCCCCATAATTTAATCCTGCCCCTCTCCCCAACACCCTAGCACTTCTTTTACAACCCCATCTATAAATATGTTAAACAACCATGGTGACATTACAAATCCCTGTCTAAGACCTACTTTTACTGGGAAGTAATCTTCCTATCTCCTGCACACCCTAACCTGAGCCTCGTTATCCTCATAAAAACTCTTTACAACATTTAGTAACTTACTACCTATTCCATACACTTTCAACATCTGCCACATTGCTTCCCTATCCACTCTGTCATATGCCTTTTCCAAACCCATAAATGCAATGAAAACTTCCCTACCTTTATCTAAATACTATTCACATATATGCTTCAATGTAAACTCCCCTACCCATTCTGAAACCTCCCTGCTCATCTGCAATCCTGCTCTCTGTCTTGCCTCTAATTCTTTCAATAATAACCGTACCATACACTTTACCTGATATTCTCAGTAAACTACTAATACTTTCTACAAGCCGGCTGTATCTTACCAAGGCAGGGTGGCCCAAAAAAGAAAAACTGAGAGTTTACTCAGTAAACTTATTCCATTATAATTTTTACAATCTCTTTTGTCCCCTTTCCCTTTATATAAAGGAACTATACATGCTCTCTGCCACAGTAATACATAGGTCAAATATAGTACTGTACTACCACACATGATATTGTACAAATGAATGAATGAGTTTATATTTATACCAGTATGCACTGCATACAGCAGTTCAAATATATATCTTACACATGGAATTACTTATGGAAATGAGACATTGCATAATAGTTAATATGCATAAATCAGATCTACAAAATGAGGGTAACCATCCATGTGTGTGTGTATGTAATTTCTAAAATCCCAAAACTGTACTTATGCATGGTTTCACTTAATATGTATGACTACTAGATCTAGATGGCTGTACATGAGACATTTCACCTGCCTCTGATTTGAAATGTGGCTAAAGAAGTATGAATAAAAAATTAAGTTTTGCTCTATGCATGGGTGAAACTTATGACCACTTGCAAAATTGTTCATGATTATAAAAGTTTTAGTAAGAGGAGGATGTTAAAAGAAGCAGTAGTATATGTCAAATTCTTGCATATTGCGAGTTAATTGCCTTTGAGTTTTCTTCCTCGGTAATGCATTATATGTATTAATTGCAGTAATTTGATATGATCATGATTTTTCAGCAAGTTACGGTGGTGGGAGAGAAGAGAGGAAACAATTGATAAATTCATTAGCAACAGAAGATGGTACCTTCTTGCATATGGCAACTAAGGTAAATATTTTCTTGATAGTCTTGAACACTCTTTAAAATATGGTATCCCATGTGTGTGATAATTTTACTGTTTGTTTTAGACCTTATAATGGATAGAATTATTGTTATAAAATCTTGTTGACAAGAGAAAATATATTCAGTAGATAAAATTTGTTATTTCTTCTAAGAAATTTGCCAGTTTAATGTTCAAGACAAAGGAAATCAAGTGCAGCCTTGGCCAAGAAACAGTTACATTAATGTTAATTATGAAAACTTTCAAAACAAGATATATCTGTAATTAGGATCAAGGCATGTACTGTATTTCATGCTCTGTTACTGAGGATATTGTCACTTGGTTTATAACCACAGTAGATTGTTTTAAGTTTTCATTTATATATGGTGCAATTTATTGCCTTGTAAATAGACTAAAGCTCCAGGTTTATCATTTGGTGCTTTTCAGGGGGTTAAGAATTTGAGAATTAATTCAGTTTTTTTTTTTGTCCATAATAATGTTATTTTAAGAAATGTATACTATATCTCTGCATTAATATTTTTCAGCTTGGTCGAGGAGACATCATACGAGCATTATTAGCTGTAGGTGCTGACCCTGGGGTGCAGGACAATGATGGCAACACACCTCTTCAGCTAGCACCTTCACAAGCCATCACTGCCATCTTCACCGAAGAATTGCTTCGGGCCACTGCACAGTCCGAGTAAACTGTAGATTTATGGTTGTCTTTACATTCAGATCACATAAATATTTGGTCTCCTCTCACGGCAGAGTTCTTCACTTTGAATAGTTTATTAGATAAAATGTATCCTACCCGTAATACATGAAGAAAATAATTACTGTACAGTATATATATATTTTTTTTATCAAGTCGGCCGTCTCCCACTGAGGCAGGGTGACCCAGAAAGAAAGAAAATCCCCAAAAAGAAAATATTTTCATCATCATTCAACACTCACCTCACCGGTTTCCCTGAATCCCTTCACTAAATATTACCCTGCTCACATTCCAACAGCTCATCAGGTCCCAAAAAACATTCGTCTCAATTCACTCCTATCTAACACGCTCACTCACGCTTGCTGAAAGTCCAGGCCCCTCACCCACGAAACCTCCTTTACCCCTTCCCTCCAACCTTTTCGAGGATGCTGCCTTTCTTCCCCTTCAGATTTATACGCTCTCCATGTCATTCTACTTTGATCCATTCTCTCTAAGTGACCAAACCACCTCAACAGCCCCTCTTCAGCGCTCTGACTAATACTTTTATTAACTCCACACCTTCTCCTAATTTCCACACTCCGAATTTTCTGCATAATATTTACACCACACATTGCCCTTAGACAGGGCATCTCCACTGCCTCCAACTGCCTCCTCGCTGCAGCATTTATGACCCAAGCTTCACACCCATATAAGAGTGTTGGTACCACTATACTTTAATACATTCCCTTCTTTGCCTCCATAGATAACGTTTTTCGTCTCCACATATACCTCAACGCACCACTCACCTTTTTTCCTTAATCAGTTCTATGGTTAACCTCATCCTTCATAAATCCATCCGCTGACACATCAACTCCCAAATACCTAAAAACATTCACTTCTTCCATACTCCCTCTCTCCAGTGTGATATCCAATTTTTCTTTATACAAATCATTTGATACCCTCATCACCTTACTCTTATCTATATTCACTTTCAACTTTCTACCTTTACACATCCTCCCAAACTCGTCCACTAACCTTTGCAACTTTTCTTTAGAATCTCCCATAAGCACAGTATCATCAGCAAAAAGTAACTGTGTCAACTCCCATTTTGTATTTGATTCCCTGTAATTTAACCCTTTCAGGGTCGGCAGGCCCTCTCCTGAACTTGTTCTCAGGGTCGGATATTTTTCGAAAAAAAAAAAATCTTATGGAATGATAGAGAATCTTTTCCCGATCATGACACCAAAAGTATGAAATTTGATGGAAAACTTACTGAATTATGCTCTCGTGAAGTTAGTGATCTCGATGATGATTATGCATTGGCGATTTTGCCCACTTTGAGCTCTATTTTCAGACAATTCCAATGTACCAGTCGACAAAAATCATAACTATTTCGCTAGAACTCCATTTTTTCTATCGAATGAGTGCAAGAAACCACCCATTTACCGATTTCAACTATCCAATAAAGTGGTCAGAAATTGGCAAATTTGCCAATTTCACACAAATCTCAAAAGATGCCAATTTCCAAATAGGGTCCAGAGTAAACAAGACAGACATTCCTGGCACTAAAATAACATTTCCTCTGTTCATTAGTCACGTCCCAGGCCCTCTTACATTTCTTTTGCTTTCCACTTTGAATTTTTATTCTCGCAAAAAATAGAAGATTTACTGTTATGCAGAACACTGCATTAGTGTAGAAAAGGTATAAATAATATCAGCGCACTTATGAAAGAATATTAGACTCGCCAGTTGACGTTTATTGGACGCATGGCATGATTTGTTTACTTTTGAACTTCGGCAAAAATCGAGCATTTCTGCTACTTTAAGCTCAATTTCAAGGTACTTTTCATTGTGAAACCAATCAAAATCATCTCAATTTCTGTAAGATGTCTTCCATTCTATAAAATGAGACCAGGAAAACTAGAATACAACCATAAATACCATACAAAAATGCACTGCAAAGTTGCTGTTTTAAACCAAAAGCACGGTCGGAGTTTTTTTTTCTCGTTATGCGCTGTGTGCTGCAGGATTTTTTTTATACTGCACACACTGACCACATAGACCCATTCTTTCATATGTAGGCCTACCAGCTTTCTCTCGCTAGATTTGAAGGCGCTAGAATTTATGCGTACTAGTACAGCACCAACCCTGGTGTGCAAGCCGTACTAGTACGGCACCAACCATGGTGTGCAAGCCGTACTAGTACGGCACCAACCCTGATGTGCAAGCCGTACTAGTACGGCACCAACCCTAGTGTGCAAGCCGTACTAGTACGGCACCAACCCTGGTGTGCAAGCCGTACTAGTACGGCACCAACCCTGAAAGAGTTAATCCCATCCCTCTCCCCAACACCCTAGCATTTACTTCTTTTACAACCCCATCTATAAATATATTAAACAACCATGGTGACATTACACATCCCTGTCTAATACCTACTTTTACCGGGAAGTAGTCTCCCTCTCTTCTACACACCCTAACCTGAGCCTCACTATCCTCATAAAAACTCTTTACAGCAATAATTAACCTCACAAATTTAAAGTAACCTAAATAAATCACATAGTATGTTGAGAAATTAGCTTAAAATATTATTTAAAAATCAAAGATTCACATTTCAAGTAGTATGTCCCTTAAAAATTACTGGACTGCTATGTTTTGAGGTATCATTCATATACATTATGGTGTGTGGAAAATCATACTTATGTGAATACCACTAAGGCTTTGATAATTAGGTAATTATTACTTTTTTATTTTAAATTATGAATCATCTTTAAACTTGTATCTTTTTTTAAAGTTCCTTTCAAAAAAATAAAAAAATACTATGTAGACTAAGTTTAGATTAAGTTTTGTCTGAAGTGTTGTGCATTCTGTGGGCTTCAGATTTTTTACATTTTTAATATACAGTAAATTTGAAATAAAGAATTGAATTGATTGTGGAAGCACTTTTTAATCATCTCTCATTCAATTATTGTCCTTAACCCTTTCAGGGTCCAGAGGCCAAATTTCAAAGTGCATACCAGTGTCCAAGAATTTTCAAAAAATAATTTAGTTTTTTCTTATGAAATGGTAGAGAATCTTTTTCTGAAGGTAATTAAACAAAAAGTACGAAATTTGATAGAAAATTGACGAAATTATGCTCTCGCAAATTTTGATGTTGGTGATTTTGACGACTTTGACTCCCATTTTAGGCCAATTACCTTATTCCAGTCGACCAAATTCTTACCTATTTCACTAGTATTACTTCTATTCTATCGATTGAGCACATAAAATCACCAACTCAACTGTTTCAACTACAAAATAAAGTGATTGGAAATTGGTAATTTGGCCAATTTAGTGCAAAGTTCAAAATATTCCAGTTTCAAAATATGGTCCAGAATAAACAATGTAGGCATTGTTTATTCTGGTCCCTATTTTCTTCTGTTCATTAGTAATGTTTTCAGGCTTTACAAATGAATTCCATTTTGATTCTTAATTCACATAATGAATTTTTATTCAAACCAAAAAATAAAAGATTTACTCTTATGCAATATTGTAATAATTGTATAAATAATATCAGCACATTTGTGAACATATATTAGACCCACCAGCTGGCATGTATTAGACGTGTGAGGTCATTTGTTTACTCTTGAATATCAGCAAAAATTTAACATTTCCGCTCCTTTGAGCTCAGTTTCAAGCCATTGTAAGTACTAAAACCAATCAAAATCAACTCTATTTCTGTAATATATCTTCCATTCTATCAAATGAGACCAAGAAATCACAAATACAACTATAAAAACCATACGAAAAAACACTGCAAAGTTGCTGTTTTAATAAAAAATTATGATCTGTTTTTTTATTTTCATTGTGTACTGTGTGCTGCAGGGTTTCTTTTATGTGATCCACGCATACCACATTGATGTATTCTCTCATATCTAGGCCCAAATTTACCACTCACAGCTTATCAGAGTGAGCTGAGCTCATGGCATAGATCTACGGTTTGGACCCTCAATGTAAAGCCGTAGATCTATGGCACAGACCCTGAAATGGTTAAAGTACTCTTAATTGTTATCAATATTTTGTCATTCGGTGTTTCTTGTATAGAATTCTTCTTTCAACAAATTGGCCATGTCCCACCAAAGCACTTATAGAATTACATATACAGTGGACCCCCGATTAACGATATTTTTTCATTCCAGAAATATGTTCAGGTGCCAGTACTGACCGAATTTGTTCCCATAAGGAATATTGTGAAGTAGATTAGTCCATTTCAGACCCCCAAACATACACGTACAAATGCACTTATATAAATACACTTAAATAATTGGTCACATTAGGAGGTGATCGTTAAGCGGGGGTCCACTGTATAATAATAAAAATAATAATAATATCTTTATTTCTACAAGTACATGTACAAGGCATACAGACCTACCTGACATCAATGACATACTACTATATAGAAAGCCGCTTGTTATGCAGAGTGTTTCGGGCAAATTAGGTCAATACACAAATAACCCACACATAAAAGATGTAGGTAGTAGGTTGGTAGACAGCAACCACCCAGGGAGGTACTACCGTCCTGCCAAGTGAGTGTAAAACAAAAGCCTGTAATTGTTTTACATGATGGTAGGATTGCTGGTGTCTTTTGTCCGTCTCATAAATATGCAAGATTACAGGCATGTCATGCTACTTCTACTTACACTTAGGTCACACTACACATACATGCCTCTTCAAGGGGGGCTCTTTGGCATGGTGAAGAGGCTCTTGGTCTGAGGAATTAGACCTGTCGGTCTCCTTCCTCTGACCGAACCTAATTACCCCCCAATCCCCCCTTCCCTATCCCATCCTCCCCTTTTCCCTTTCCTCCTCCCCCTCCCCACCCCTCCCTTTTGCCCTTCCTCTTTTTGGCCTTTGGGATTTTTCCCACAGGCACGCTAGTTCCTAGGTAGGGGAAAGGGTACCAGGGTCCATCCCATTCTGTTGAGGTTCTTGGCGGTGGCATAGTTTGCCGTGGAATCTGGATCGCCTGGGGA